ATAAATCTTTAGTCACACTCCAGCCAAAGTTGGGAGTTAAGTGTCTTGCCCAAGGTTCCAACAGTGACATCATGACATCACTCTGCTGAGCAAGGGATTTGAACCAACAACCTTCCGATTTGAGATTGGATTAAGCATCCTAACGCTCCCAGCACTCGCCCCCACTTAGGGAGCAAAATGAGGATGTGTGCCATGAAGAGAAAATGCACAGAAACTCAGGAGGGAACATTTGTTTTCCCATATCTATCTATCTATCTATCTATCTATCTATCTATCTATCTATCCACTCACCCATCCATCCATCTATTGAACTTCCAGCTGCTTATCCTGGTCAGGTTCAAGCAGATGTTCCAACATCATATCTTAAAACTGGCACTTTTCATTCTCCTGTCTAATGACTAAGGGATTAGGATGAACAGGATGAGTCATTAAAAGCCATGAACACTTCTCCCTGTTGCAAACCTATTAAGAATTCAATCCAAGCCAAAACATCCCCTAATCTCCAGAGTGGACCTATTTGTTAAAAGCACTTTTTCCATGCACTACAGTGACAAGCCTGTGGCCTGTGGTTGGAGCTGTTAGGCCGTGAAGTAACATAAGCAGGCGAATGTGACCAGTGTGTAACCCACAACATGTGAGCTCACCATCTGCTGGCGGGGGGTGTGAACTGCAAGCACGCCTGCCTAATGATGCTTCCCCATAGCTGCGGGAAGAAGGAGTGCAGGTGCTGCAGACAACCCAAGATTTGTGAGTGTATTCATCAAAAGTCGTTGGACAACATTATACTACTAAACCAAGCAATTTATCTGGATCAGAAGCAAAAACTTCAAGGGAAAAGATGGTATTTTCTTCATAGTTCTAGTTTGTGGATCTAAAATCAAACACTCAATTTCCAAACAAGTTACATTTATAAGAATATAAAAGTATGTGATTCTCGTCTGCATTGAATGCAGAATTACATCCAGTCTGCATGCTGAAGACTGTCATGTTATAACACATGAAGTCTTGACTGCTCCAGTCGCTCTAAGAGCGAACAAGAGCCCCAAAGCGTGTGGCTGTAGTCAAATATATCACCGCGCACCATGACCTAATAAGACATAAATACTTAAACGTTAAGTTCATTTAAAGGTACAGTGACAGCTTCATAGATTAATTGATGCTGTATATCCAGTTCATTTATCTAGTGATTTCATAAAAAGTTAAGGGTAAAGTTACAATTTATATGTGCTCTACGGGATTTAAACCCACAACCTTTGGGTTGTTAATGCAACGCTCTACCTGTGACACTGCAGGAGCTATATGAGTGAAACAGGACAAGGCTGGTAAACATAAGAGGACGTGTATAAAAGGGCCCTATGCTTAGTCATGTCTGCTCAACAGCAGAAACGGGGGAACCGGTGTGTTTGCTCCATTTAATGATCCCCCACTGGAGTACCCCCCCGAGCCTATAGTGTTCCCCCCCTTCTGGGGATAATGAATTTAACCTGCAGGAGTACTTCAGCAATACTGACCTCATTCACAGACTTGATGAGATCCATCCCGTGACCTATCAGGCAGAATGCTCTTGTCACGCCCGAGCCAGACCCCGCCAAGCATCATGGGAAATCAACAGCTCACGCCTTAACCGGCCAATAACAGATGTGACTCAGTCGAGCACCTTGTCAACCGAGACAGACATGCCATCGCACACCCAGTATGTCTGTGGGAGGTGAGCTTGAAAGGAGACATTTCCATGGAAGACGTCTTTTGAGGGAACAGAAACTCGGCGTCTGGAGACCGCCTACGCAAACAGCGCCCATCCGACCCAGTGTATGCGTGACCATCCCTGACATAAAGTAATTCTATGTCAAAACAGGGAAATGTGAGACCCAGGAGGATCAGCCAAGCGGTACCTATCCAGCAGACCACAAGGAGCAGCTGTTTAATTCTAAGCCACGACGCATTTCAGCTGCACTTCAGACCCACCCGGTCTGCGGCTCATGCTCACGGCGCCATTAATATTGCACAATGTCGGCAGTAGGGTGGGCGTGGCCAGGCTGAGTCAGGTTACATCGGGAGCCTTTTCTGTGAGGCCCACTAGGTTCCCATGTGCTGAAAGGAATGTCTGCGTGCCATGCAGAAGCAGTCTGACAGCAGAAGCAACACCTGATAATCACTCCCACCCCCCACCTGCTGATTTATGGAAGATTCCAGTGAAACACCTAGTTCCACTTTTCCACTGCAGATCTCATATTGACAGCTCCCCCAGGACATACGAGCAGCTCCTCTGCAGCTTTCCAGAGGAACCGCGCCTTTGTGACGCCACGCTGGAAACTTCCATATCTTAGCAGGCGAATGTTCGAGGTTCTCAGTGACAGTGTAAGTGCTCTGGGTTCATCTTGCCGGTGTGATATTTACTTTGCAGCGATCGGTGAACATCAAGAGTCGCTAAGGGTGCCGTCACCGAACTTGACACAGGGCAGGACTTACGTGGCAACCTGATGCATGACTTTGGTGGAGGTGTCCTTCAAGGTGTCCTTCAGGTTGTCTTTGAAGTTGCTGAAGAACTTGCCCGCTCCCCCTTTCACCATGTCCAGAAGGCCGCCGCCATAGTTGGCATCCATATCTGGAGGTGAAGTGCCTTAACATGAGCTGATTTAAGGCCAGGACCGAGCTCATGGGCTGACACCAACATGTCACCATGAGATATTCACAGACATGCTAATTCTGTACATTTACCTGTGAAACACAAAGACCTAACTGTGGTCTGTAGCATAAGCACAACAACCCATTCCCACTGACCCCCCTGTCCTCCCGAATTCCTTTACAGAGCCGTTAACAAGAATTTTACATCAACTCAAGATGGGGGGCTAAAGAACATGGGAGTCTACAGTTCTTGCACTTTGCTCCACTTTTTGGTAGAATCTGAAACTCCAAGAGCCCATAAACAGAGCTCTAAAGAGAGCACTAAGGAGAGCACTAAAGAGAGCACTAAGGAGAGCACTAAGGAGAGCACTAAAGAAAGCACTAAGGAGAGCACTAAAGAGAGCACTAAAGAGAGCACTAAGGAGAGCACTAAGGAGAGCACTAAAGAGAGCACTAAAGAGAGCACTAAGGAGAGCACTAAGGAGAGCACTAAAGAAAGCACTAAGGAGAGCACTAAGGAGAGCACTAAAGAAAGCACTAAGGAGAGCACTAAGGAGAGCACTAAAGAAAGCACTAAGGAGAGCACTAAG